ATATATTATATTATATTATATTATATTATATTATATTATATTATATTATATTATATTATATTATATTATATCATATCATATTATCATATATTCTGCTATAATTATATATCGTCATATTATTAATTAATTACAAAACTAATTATCGGTAACTGCGAGCTGAAACATCTGCCTCTAATGAAAGGATTTGAAAAAGTAAATTAAATGCTCGGAGTAAATCCCGCGGACTTTTCCTCTGCCATAATCACGATTTTCTTTCAATTAACTGCTGCTGAGTAAAATATTCATTGTGATTTTCCGTATGTATTCATAAATAAAAATGTACATAAATAAATCTGTATACATTCAGTCAATCAGATTAGTTACTGAGATATGTAACTAAGTATTGTAACTGAGCACTGAACTTAAACTTATAGCTGAAAAGTGGATGTACGTATATACCGTATATATGGTTAACTGCAAGTTGGTAAACGAGTGGTGTTACTGAGAATTGAAACTGTGGGCTTTGACTTGAATATGTAAATTAAAACGAAAAATAACAACTTTAACTTAGAACTGTAAGTTTGAGAGGGAAACCTTATAGCTGAGAACTTCATCGTAGAAGTATTTATAAGAACTCTTATTCGGAACTGCAAGTTAGTATAACGAGTTATAACTACAAGTTTGAACTGCAAGTTATAAACACAAGTCAGAACTGCAAGTTATAACTGCAAGTTATGAACACAAGTTAGAACTGCAAGTTAGAACTGCAAGTTATAAACACAAGTTATAACTACAAGTTTGAACTGCAAATTATAAACACAAGTCAGAAGTGCGAGTTATGAACACAAGTTAGAACTGCAAGTTAGAGCAACTTAGAACTGCAAGTTAGAACTGCAAGTTATAAACACAAGTTATAACTGCAAGTTAGAACTGCAAGTTGAAAATGCAAGTCGGAATTATGAATTGATATTACCTGTGAAACTGACGGGTTGAACCATTGCTGTTTGAGAGGTTGTGTGGGTAGTGTGCAGGTTAAACCTGGAGGTTAACTAGGCAGGTAAAACCGGCAGATTAACTTGACAGGTTAAGCTGGTTGGTCACTTAGACACATTAGCTAAGCAGGTTAATCCGGGTAGGTTATCCTGAGTAACAGGTTAACCCTGTATAATGTCCTGAAGTGAATTCGATAAATATCCACAAATGTGTAAATCTCCACACTCTTTATTTCCTGGATTGTAGTATAACATTATTTCTTTTTATTATACAGCTATTCCGCTAATAATGATAATTACGCAGATACTTAGAATGATGTATCTGCACTTCTAATTACTTCCCACCATTACCTCACTTGTATACTTCTGCATTGTGTAATAACAACTAATATACTTTGAATGGCATTAATAACCTCACTGTCAAATCACCCGAATCACCTTGATCACCTTAACCGCTCGATTCGCCTCATATTACTCGAATAACCTTAAATAATCTGAATCATTTCAATTCACGCGAATCACCCCAAATTGCCTCAAATCACCTGAATTACCTAAATGGTCTAAATCACCAGAATCGCTTTAAATTGCCTGAATCATCTAAATTACTTCAAATCACCCAAGACTATCTATGACTTGAATAACCTGAATCACCTGAATCACCTGACTCACCTGAATCACCTGACTCACCTGACTCACCTGACTCACCTGACTCACCTGACTCACCTGACTCACCTGACTCGCCTGACTCACCTGAATCATCTGACTCACCTGACTCGCCTGACTCACCTGAATCATCTGACTCACCTGACTCACCCGCAGCTGACGCAGCTCATCTCCAACACGCCCTACAACGTCAGCGTCGTCGCCGTCGTCGGGGACGCCAGCAGCGCTGCGGCCAACGTCACCCTCGTCATCCCCGCGACCCTGCAGACTGCAGACCCTAACTGGACCCTGTATGGTGAGTCTGCAGACCCTAACTGGACCCTCTATGGTGAGTCTACAGACCATAACGGACCCTCTATGGTGAGTCTACAGACCCTAACTGGACCCTTTATGGTGAGTCAGCAGTCCTCTGTAAGGTGAGTCTGCAGGGTCCTGTATGGTGAGTCTGCAGGGCCCTGTATGGTGAGTCTGCAGGGTCCTGTATGGTGAGTCTGCAGGGCCCTGTATGGTGAGTCTGCAGGGCCCTGTATGGTGAGTCTGCAGGGCCCTGTATGGTGAGTCTGCAGGGCTCTGTATGGTGAGTCTGCAGGGCTCTGTATGGTGAGTCTGCAGGGCTCTGCTCCGTGATTATTCTGTAGGGACAGACTACAGAGCCTTATGAGTTTAGTCTGTAAATCTATTGCTTGTTAACGTCACAAGTTAAACCCGTTAATTCCTCCCCCCCCGCAGTGCTGCTGTCGCTGGTGGTGGCGGAGGGGGCGGCGCTCCTGTGCTTCCTTTGCGTCCTGCTGCGCCGGGGGCTGCTGACGGTGGGTCATCGGGGGGGCATGAGGGGTCATGGAGGTCATGATGGATGTCATGGAGGTCATGATGGCATAATTTGGGGATAGCGATATCATATTAGTAATGCTGGGGTTATTTGGGGGTCAAATTGCGTTGGTGTTTAAGGGGTTTAGCTGGGTTTATTTTAATAGGTTATACTAAGGTTATGATGGAGCTATTTTGGGGTCATGTTTGGGTTGTTTTAAGTTAATGGTGGGGTTATTTCTGGGCCATGCTGGATATATTTATGCTGGATATATTTGGGGTCATGATTAGGTTTTATCATGACCAGTTCGCATTTCCTGTTGTTTACATCAAATTACAAGGCGGGCTTAAGGTGAAGTCACTTTTATTTCCTCTAAATTAAAAAAATTAATAAAAAATAGAAAACTTTTTCCTCTCAATTTTCAAAAATAAAAATAATAAAAACTCCCACACCGCTTCATTTCTTTATTCACTTTTAAACACCCCCCCTCCCCCCGCGAAGGCCGAGTGTCTGTCTCTTNAAACGTTTTCAATATCGATATGGTGAATTTTCTTGGCGTTTTCTTTGCTTTTAAATTCCTTGTTTTAAAAGGTTATACTGAAACTATGATGGGGTTATTTTGGGGTCATGTTTGGGTTGTTTTAAATTAATGGTGGAGTTATTTCTGGGCCATGCTGGATATATGTAGAGGTCATGGAGGGGTTATTTTGGGGTCATGCTGGAGTCTTATCATAACCAGTTCGCAGTTCCTGCTGTTTTCATCAAATCGCAAGGCAGGCTTAAAATTAAGTCACTGTTATTTCCTCTAAATTAAAAAAATTAATAAAAAATGGAAAAATCGCCACCGCTTGATTTTTTTATTCACTTGCCCTCCCTTCCTCCCTCCCCCCGCGAAGGCCGAGTGTTTATTCTCATACGTCAGGGGGGGCAAGCGCCCCCCGGAGGAGCCCTTCGTGATACTCCCCCAAAATGGCCGCCCCTGTTCCCCCTGCAGGGGGAGCACCGCCCCCCAGTGGCAGCGCCCCCTGGACTCCAAGGTGGTGTCATTATTTATTTTTTCATTATTTACCTAATTTTACGCTCAGAAAATTTATTAGGTCATATTGTCCAAATAGTGACACAGACCACACACACTAACTTTCGCCCTATATTACTGTTATTACTAGTCTATTACTATTAGTACTAGTCTATTACTATTAGTACTAGTCTATTACTATTATTACTAGTCGGCAAAGAATGTTAATTTCCTGGTATTTATCACTGCACATGGCAACTGAGCGCACGAGCACTGATGCACTTTATGCTTGCCAAACTGAGTCAGGATGACCCACACAATAGCAATAAATGTATCCCTATTTTATGAGTGTATAATTACCTGCAACTTAGCCTTAATTATTTTAAAAAATGTAATAAAATTTTATTTATATTTCTGAACTTTTGTAATAATAATTGATAAGATATAATATAAAATATTTTATTTTTTAAATTTTATAAACCTGCAAAAATTACTAAAAATGAAAATTTTATTAATAGTGAAATAGTCCCGTAAAATCAGGATACAATATAGGGTGAAAGATGAGGGTAATGAGGGTAAAGGAGGCAGGGTTAACCCTCACATGTCAGTTGCAGGGTCCGCAGCTGTCGCCGGTCTGGGGCCGCCGTCACCTGAGGGAGACTACGCAGGGTCCTAAGGTGGGACCCTTAACCCTTAATTCTTACAACCTATTGACCCTTAACCCTTAATGCTTACAACCTATTGACCCTTAAATATTGTCCAAATAGTGACACACTTTTTCACCCGCTGCACGAGCACAGTATCACTGATGCACTTTATGCTTGCCAAACTGAGTCAGGATGACCCACACGAGGGCAAGAAATGTATCGCAATTTTTATGAGTGAATAATTATTTCTAACTTAGCCTTAATTATTTTGAAAATATAATAAAATTATATATCTTTTTCTAGACGTTTATAATAATATTTAATAAGATATACTAAAAATACGTTTTATATTCTAAAAGTTTATAAGCCTGTAGAATTACTATCAACGAAAATTTTATTAATAGTGAAAAAGTCCAATAAAAAAATCAGGATACAATTCGGGAGGGTTCGCCTTCAATCAGGAGGGTAAACGAGGGTAACTGAGGCAGGGTTAACCCTCACATGTCAGTTGCAGGGTCCGCAGCTGTCGCCGGTCTGGGGCCGCCGTCACCTGAGGGAGACAACGCAGGGTCCTAAGGTGGGACCCTTAACCCTTAATTCTTTCAACCCATTTATCCTGGACCCAAAATGCTTTCAACCCGTTAACCCTTAACCCTTAATGCTTAAAACCCATTGTCCTTCAACCCTAAATGCTCTCACCCCATCGACCCTCAACCCTAAATGCTTACAAGCCATTGTCCTTCAACCCTTAATGGATGCAACTCACTGACCCTCAACCCTAAATTCTTTCAACCGATTGACCCTCAACCCTTAATGGATTCAACTCATTGAGCCTCAACCCTAAATTCTTTCAACCGATTGACCCTCAACCCTTAATGGATTCAACCCATTGACCCTCAACCCTAAATTCTTTCAACCCATTTATCCTGAACCCTAAGTGCTATCAATCTATTAACCATGAAACCGAATAACATCAAAATATTAAAAACGAAGCTCTTTAACCTCCTGCCAGTCAACGCTAAACCATCTCTTCTCATCTCCCTGACATCAAACCTATTACCATTTACTTGATGTAAAGTTTATCTTTAACCCTTTCCTCCTAACCCTTCACTCTGACCTCCTAATCTTTGACCCTGACTTACTAACCTTTAAACTAGCTAAGCCCCAGCTTGTCATCACTATCCTTTATCCCTTTATCCTGAACACAACTGTCAGCCCTGAACCCATTAACTCGTTAGGATTATCCTGTACCTTTACCAACACATAGACTAACCTTAGGATTAACAATATTAACCTTTAACCTTAGTAACCATTATAAATTTGGGTTTTGGTTCATACATTTGAAAATTTATAGAAAAAACGTGTTTCCGTCATCGTGTGGATGGCGTGGAGACTGTGACTGAGGAACTTCTTTTTTATGCACTAATTAACGCATATCTTAACGCATTTTACGTAATTTTAACGCAAGTTTTAGCGTAATTTTTAAATAATTCCTCACAAATTTTTAACGCATACTAATGCAAATTGAACTTCACGTTTGGACGCATTTTTGCCTCCTTTTTACTACACTGTTAACCCAGATTTTACGCATTTCTTAACGCGCATACTAGCGCATTTCCATGCGAGTGCGTTAAAAATTAGGTCAAAAAGTGCGCCGAGAAATCAATAGGCTTAAAAAACTGTTTCTCATACACACACTAACTTTCGCCCTATATTACTATTATTACTAGTCTATTAATATAATTAATAGCCGGCAAAGAATGTTAATTTCCTAGTATCGGTCACTGCACGTGGCAATTTCAACATTTTTATGGCTGGAAGACACGACAATTTTATTATTTTTTTCATTAGCAGGATAAGCTAATTTCATCATTCTTATCACTGATGGGCATGTCATTCTCATCAATTTCGCTACAGCAAGTATAAATTTCATTATTGTTGTAGCAGTCGGAGATGTGAACTTCATTATTTTCATCGCCGGAGAACATGACGATTACACTATTTTTATCACTGATGTAAATGTTATTTTCCTCGATTGTGGATGAATCACTTCATTCATTTCATCACTGGAGATGTTAATCTCATTATTTTCTTCACAAGTGGACATGCTAACTTCATTTTGTCGTCGCTGGTGAGGGAATAATTATTTTCATCAATGGCGGACATGTCAATTTCATTGTTTCATCATTAAAGATTTCAGTTTCATTATATTCCTTACGAGTGGACATCTTTGTTTCCCATTTTCAATGTTCAATGCACATGACGATGTCCCCTCGCCCTCCTCGTCTCACGTCCCAATTTCTACAGACGCGAAGTCCGGCGTCCGGCGACGCAATCTACGCGCGGCGACCATCGCTGGAATCTGGGGGCGAGGCCGAGGACCAAGATGGCCTCTTGCAGTCCCGTGATCGTCAAGACCCACAGGAACGGCAGCGTCATGAGTAACACACTCGAACTTGACTCCTTCTGCTGAATCCCGCAGACCCAAAGCGGCGCCTTCTTAGGGAGTGCCGCAGACCCAAGGGCGGCGCCTCCAGAGGGAGTCGCACATACCCAAGGGTGACGGCTCCTGAGGGAGTCCCGCAGACCCAAAGGGCAGCATCCTCCGCAGGGAGAAGTTAACCACCATTTGTAAGCTACCTCATCCAAATGATCCTAACCTCAGCATCCAAAGACAACCCGCCTCCACCATACATTATGTTTGCGCATGTCTGAACGCGAACGGCGTTCACTTCGGAGTCTGTAAATTACAGTTTGCAGCATACAATTGGAGTCTGTAAATTGCAGTTTTCAGTGTACAATGGAGCCGGTAACTTACAGTTTGCAGCGTACAAATGGAGTCTGTAAATTACAGTTTGCAGCGTACAAATGGAGCCTGTAAATTGCAGTTTGCAGCATACAATGGAGTCTGTAAATTACAGTTTACAGCGTACAATGGGGTCTGTAAATTACAGCTTGCAGCGTACAATGGAGTCTGTAACTTACAGTTTACAGCGTACAATGGGGTCTGTAAATTACAGCTTGCAGTGTACAATGGAGTCTGTAACTTANCTATGGGGTCTGTAAATTACAGTTTGCAGCGTACAATGGAGTCTGTAATTTACAGTTTACAGCGTACTATGGGGTCTGTAAATTACAGTTTGCAGTGTACAATGGAGTCTGTAACTTACAATTTCAGCGTCAACATCTCAGGATATTTCAAGAAGCTCTACTTTACAGAAGTACATTTCTGTCTACGTAATTTTTTTGTGTACGTAAAGTTATAAGGTTAGTAACTTTAAATAAGTGTATGTGTGGGGATACATTTCTTTCTAAGCTGTTTATGTTTATAAGCTAACGTGGTTTTTATTTTAGGTGATTTATTAATTTTAGTTTTTTGGGGGGTGCCGCGGAGTGAATTTTTGGTACGTGAATAAATCAATCAATTGGTAATATATGAATTGTTTAGTTATGCGAAAATTAACGTTGAGTCCATAATTATTCAAGAATTTTGACCAATTTTTCCAGGCTCTACGTTATTTTACATCCACTTTATACTCATCCACATTACCTCGTTCACGCCAATCTCATTCACTGGAAAGCGGATTCACGTGAATGCGCTTTCAAACGTTTCAAAAACATAGAACCTTTAATCAAAAAACATTAAAACGTGGATCAAAAAACGTGTTAACGTTAATCACAACTTGCATAAATGAGCATAATTTAATTAAGTCTATGCTTACGTTGATGACTACGTCGAAAATTGCAAATATAATATCATTCCATCATATATTATGATCATCATACCTCATCAATTCATCCTTGTGATCCTTCCCGCGATCCATACATAATCTATCCCACTAACTTCTTTATCCATTTTACGACCAACTCGCTTTTCCATTTTACAACCAACTCGCTTATCCATTTTACGACTAACTTGCTTTTTCTTTTACGACCAATCCTCTTATCATTTTCACAACTCTCTTATTCATTATACGCCCAACTTTCATACCCAATTTACGACGAACCCTCCTGTTCAATTTACGACCATCTCTCATATCATTTTTGCGAACAACTCAACAATCCATTTTACGACCAACTGCGTAATTCTTTGACGACCAATTCTTACAACTTGTAACCTATCAAGTTCAACTTAGTCATTGAATTACGGTCGTGCTTTCGGCGGCCGCTCAAAATTCGTTCAGTGTAAACTAATGTTGTGAAATTTTATGTAAATTAACTGTTGTTGTTACAATTAAAATCACTGCCCATTTTGCCAACGTAGAGCACTTAACTAGTGCGTGTCTAGAGCTGAAGAATAGCTGGTTTG